CGCGATCTACTTCTGGGACGAGGCAGCTCACGCCGACTACCCCGAAGCCAAGGAACGCGCGATCCAGGAGACGACTGATTGTCTCATCGAGATCTCGACCCCGAACGGCGTCGATAATCCATTCGCCACCAAGGTGCGCGGCGCGCTCGTCGACACGCTCTACATGCGCTGGGATGATATTCCCTGGCGCCCCCCGGAGTGGTTGGAGTGGCGCCGGCTCACGCGTTACGCCCACGACGAGCTCGGCTTTCGCCAGGAGATCCTGATCGATTTCCTCGGGACCGCGGAGTGGACCGCGATCCCGCCGACCTGGATCCAGGCCGCAGTGGATTACGAGTTGTTCGCCGGGACGACGGCTTCAGGCGGCTTCGACGTGGCCAAGAACCACGACCGCAACGTCTTCACGCCGCGTCGTGGCCCCTGTGTCGAGCCCCAGGAGATCTGGGGCGTCATGGCGCCACACGACTCCGCGGCGCGCGTCGCCTCGAGGTGTGCGTTCCACGGCATCTCGATGCTCAGTTTTGACGCCATCGGGGTCGGCGAGGGCGTCGCGTCGTACTTTGGCACCGAGGCGCGCGCCGGGCACGCGTTCGACTTCGAGGTCATCCCCGTTGTCTCGAGCCAGAAACCCACAGAGGCCAAATGGGCCGCGGGTCAGAAAACCGCGCAAGACCTGTTTGGAAACCTTCGCGCCGAGATGTGGTGGACGGTCAGAGAGCGGTTCAGGAAGACGTACGCCAACCGCCACGAGGGCACGAACTACCCCGATTCGGAGTGCATCTCGATCCCTGACGAGCCCGAGCTCATCAACGAGCTCTCCTGGCTCGAGTACAAGCACGCCCGGGGCGGGAAGATCTACGTCGAGTCCAAGGAAGACATGAAAAAGCGACGCAAGTCCTCGAAGTCTCCTGATCGCGCCGACTCGCTTATCTACGCCTTCGCCGACGATCTGCTCACGCCACAACGCGCCCCGACCTTTCACGCCGCCTGGGTCTGAATGTCTTACAAAGACCACATCGAAGCCTTACGCACCGGACAGTCGGTGTGGCAGGTGCGCTCTGACCGACTCGCCGCGAGCGAGCCGACACAGGAGCCTTCCCAGGCAAGCGCGCCATCCTCTTCGCCTGGCGTCGAGCACCCCAGGCACGATCCGCTGGAACAGCGAGGTCTGTCTGATGAGATTGGCTTTGATGCCGGCATCAGCTTCGCGCCGAGCCCCGGGGGACTGCTCTCCAGGGGTCGCACGCTCTCGGCGAACGCCGCAGTTCGGGATGGCTTCGAGGCCGCGGGCATCGTCTTTATCTGCGTGGAGCGGATCGCCAGGGCGGTCTCTTCGGTTCCGTTTCGCGTCGAGCAGCAAAAGCGTGGCGGGACATGGGAGCCGACGACCTCGAAGGAAGGAAAGGAGCTCGGCAAGCTCCTGAAGAACCCCAACATGTCCTTCCCCTGGAGCATCTTGACCTGGCGCTTGATGCAGCACTTGCTGCTCACAGGCAACGCCGTCTCGCGCCACACCGAGTACCTCACCCAAAAAGGGATCGCCGAGATTCTCGTCTTGAACCCCGATGGGGTCACGCCGAAGCCCGACGAATACGACATCGTTCGCCACTACAAGTACTCGGTGGTGGGGAAGGGCAGTGAGAAGATCCCGGCGGAGTCGATCACGCACATCCAGCTCCCTCACCCCACGAACCCACACTGGGGAATGAGTCCGCTTACCGCGGCGGCGCAAGCTGTGGATCTCGATGTCAGCGCGGCGAAGTGGCAGACCCACACGCTCAAGAACCAGGGCATGCCCTCCGGGATCGTCTCGCTCCAGGAAGCGCTCGAGGAGCAGGCTTTCAACGCGCGACGCGAGGCGATCAGGGACGACATCCAGGGTCACGAGAACGCCGGCAAGGTCCTCTTGATGGACAACGGCGCGAAGTACTCGCCGCTCTCGCTCACCGCCGAGGAGCTCGCCTACCTCGGGAGCCGCAAGTTCACGCGTGAGGAGGTCTGCGCCATCTACGCCGTGCCGCCTCCCGTGGCGGGTTTCTACGAATCCTCGACCTACAACAATGTCCACAACGCGCGCCTGATCTTCTGGATCCAGACCGTCATCCCTTACCTCGGGATGATCGCGAAGCACTACAACCAGACGTTCCAACGCTACTACGGCGACAAGGTACGCATCGCCCCCAACCTCGAGGGGATCGAGGCGCTCGCGCCGCTCTTCAGGGAGCGGCTCAAGGTCGCGCTCATCCTCCAGAAACTCGGCTACACCCCCGACCAGATCAACGAGCGCCTCGATCTCGGGATGCCCATGCTTGGAGACGCACCATGACCATTTACACCCGCCAAGACCCACAGGCCGATGGCCCGATGCTGACCCGCGCGGTCGGCATCGACTTCGAGGAGGAGTCTCTCGGGGAGCGCCTGATCACAGGCTACGCCTCGATCTTTAACGAGAAGGACTCCTACGACGACATCATCCTCCCCGGCGCCTTCGAGCAGACGCTCGACGAGGAGTTCCCCAAGAAGCGCATCAAGTTCCTCTACCAGCATGATTGGTCCTGCCCGCTGGGTGTTCCGCACGTGCTCGAGGAGCGCGAGAAGGGGCTCTGGGGTGAGGTCAACGTCATCAACACCTCGCGTGGGGATGACGCGCTCATCGAGGCGCGCGCGCAAGCTGTCGATGGGCTCTCGATCGGCTTCTGGGTCAGGCAGTCCCGGCTCGTCGATGATGATGGCGAGCCGCTCGATGAGTCCGAGGCGTCCTGGCTCGATTACTGGATGGCGCACCGCGAGATCATCAACCTCAAGCTCGGCGAGTACTCGCTCGTGACCTTCCCCGCCGCTGAAAACGCGCGCGTCGATGAGGTCCGCATGGCGCGCCGCCAGATCGAATACGCCGAGAAGATGAGCGAGCGCGCCGGCAAGTCTCCTCAGTTCGGAGAGGCCCACCTGGCCGAGCTCGTCACCGAGCTGAGGTCCCTGAACATGTTGATTCGAACCGGGATGCTCCCCGGCAAGAAGAGCGCGCCCCCCGAGGAGGCACAGGAGCACCACAACCCTGTCTCCGAGAAGAACTACCAGGAGCTTCAGCGAGGGCTCGACGAGCTCAACGCCAAGCTCAAGGCGTCCATCGCGCAGGTCCGTACGAGCTGACGCGAGGCACTCTCGCACCACCAACCACATCACCGATTTCCCCCAGAGAAGGCGGGGACGCTCTCCAGCGTGTCTCTCGCTCAATACCAGTCGAAAGGAAAAGACATGGACACAAAGCAATTCGAGAAGACGCTCTCGAGCGTCACCGAAAACGTCACCGAACTCCACGGCCTGCTCGGCAAGCAGTCCGAGGAGATCAGCAAGTATGGCGAGACCACCGAGGAGACCGCCAGGCAGATCACCGAAGCAGAGAAGCGCCTCGAGGCGCTCTCGCAAGAGGCCAAGGAAGCGCGCGACGAGCTCAACGCGGCGATGGAAGAGGCGAAGTCGGCGGCCACGCGCATCGACGAGCTCGAGAAGCAGCTCGCGCGCCCCGGCGCAGGCGCTGGCATGCAGGAGCGCCTCTCCGAGCAATTCATCGAGTCGGACACCTACAAGAAGTTCATCGAATCCGGCGAGAACCGCTCCGGGAACTTCGAGATCCGAGGCACCTTCTTCGGCGCACATGGTGCCGAGACTCCTGGCTTCTTCCGCCGCGCCATCGGTCAGTTCGACTCGTCGGGTAACCCTCTTGGCGGCTCGCTCCAGCTCCTCGATGTCTACGCGGATCCGCTCCTGCCTCGCACGGTGCGCGAGCTGATCCGTACTGGCCTGACCGAGAAGTCGCTCATCGAGTACCCCTACGAGACGGTCACCATGCCGCTCCGCACGCGCCTGACCGCCGAGGCCGCAGCTGCCCAGGCTGACCTCGTGGTCGAGCACACCGCGGGCTGGAAAGTCGGTGCCACGGTCAAGATCGGGAACGAGAACTACGTCGTTGACTCCATCGACATCGACGCCAAGACCATCACGCTGACCACAAACCTCGCCTCGACGTTCCCGGTCGGGACAGACGTCTACGGGCTCTACTTCATTCCGACCACCGAGGGTGAGCAGAAGCCTGAAGCAGGGCTTGTCATCGACATCGAGTCGGAGAAGGTCGAGACGGTCGCGGCGTGGATGCCTGTGACGCGCCAGATGCTCGAGGATGCGCCCATGGTGCGCTCGCACATCGAGGGGCGCCTCCCCGAGTACGTGCTCCAGTCGAGCGAGCGCCAGATCCTCTACGGTGATGGCGGCCCGGCGCGCGAGCTCCAGGGGATCATGACCGAGGCCAACGTCCAGGAGTACAAGTGGAGCCAGGGCAAGGTCGGCGACACCAAGTATGACGCGATCCGTCGCGCCATCACGCTCGCCACGCTCGCGGGCTACCCCGTCGACGCCGTGGTCCTCCACCCGCTCGACTGGGAAGACATCGAGACGATCAAGGGCGATGACGGGCACTACATCCGCGTCCAGTTCTACGACCAGATGGGCCGCCCCATGGTCTGGCGCGTCAAGGTCGTCGAGTCCTTCCACATGGACCAGGGCGACTTCCTCGTGGGCTCGTTCGCGATGGCCACGCAGCTCTGGCTGCGCGAGCAGATCGTCCTGCGCATCACGGACTCGCACAACGGGAACTTCACCAAGAATGTGCTGACGCTGCTCGCCGAGGAGCGCATGGCGCAGACCATCTTCCGCCCCCAGGGCTTCGTCACCGGTGAGTTCGATCAGGCGCCCTCGGCGCCCTGATCTGGCGTGACATAGGCCAGCGTCGAGTCACCTCGACGCTGGCCTGTTTCCGCTTCGTGTCCGACGCCACCCTCACCTGACCCTCCAAGCCCAAAGGAACCCAAGCCATGGCCACCTACTACGATAAAGTCATCAAGCCCTTCTCGGTGGGGAACGTGAAGTTCGATGTCAACGATCGCTCCCCGTTCTCCACAAAGGCCAAGCGCGACAGCAAGCTCCGCACGCGCCACATCAGGCCCATGACCGAGAGCGAGATCCGCGAGTACAAGCGAAAGCGCGGCCACCTCGAGAAGAAGGTCCAACCCGGCCCCGACCAGGGCGGCAAGCAATCCGGCCCCAAGACAGGCGGACAGCCAGGTCCGACGCAGACGCTCACGAACCCTCCCAAGGAAATCAAAGTGGAGGTGGAGGGGGAAGAGGTCAGCTTTGTCCTCGACGCTGAAGCGCTGGCCAACGCCCACGCGCTCCATGATGTCAGCCCGGACAACTTCAACGAGCTGATGAGCGCGATCGCCGCGCTTGGGTTCCCTGGCAAGAACGCCAAGGGGAACGCCGCGACGCTGAAGCAGAAGCGCGAGGACATCCTCGCCATCCTGGCTCCCTACCTGGGCTGAATCCCACCGGCGCCTCGGCGCCGCTTCGATACACCGCACGCATCACGAGCACCACAACGAGGCTTTGATACACCATGACCAATCGAACCCAACTCTCCCTGGCACGGCGCGAGCTCGCGCACACCCCTGTTCAGGACGCGGCGCAGGCCACGACCAATGATTTCGTGCTGGTGGCAGGCCAGACCCTCAAGGGCGGTGAACGCGACAGGATCGCGTTCAGCATCGAGAACACCGACGGCGCCAACGTCATCGTCGCGCGCGTCGTGGGTCGCATGAAGTCCCATGACCCCGACACCGACACCGAAGACTTCGGCGAGTGGGTGGTCTGCAAGGACGCCGCAGATGCCGACATCTCAGCGGATGTCGCCGCATCGAGCACGATCGCGCTCGCCGTGGTCGACCCCATCTTCGACGAGTACGGCGTCGAGGTGGAGAGCAAGGTCGACGACTCCCATGGCGCCGCAGTCGTCCACGGCACCGCGCGCTCCACGACCTGACCCGAACCAGCGTCGGTGGAAACCCCACCGGCGCTGGTTCCCGTTCTCTCTTCTCCTCCTCGAGGAGCTCCTCATGCCCACCACAGCAGTACAAGACAGGCTCGATCTCGACCTCGCTGGCATCAAGGGTCTGCTCGGCGTCGTGGAGAACGACTGGGACGCGCTGATCACGCTTTACCTCGAGGCCGCCAAGGAGCGCGCCGACACCTACATGAACAACCCGTTCACCTTATCCGACGGCACCGAACTCAGCATCCCTGCGCGCGTCAAGCTCGGCGTCTACGAGGACGTCTACGCGCAGTGGTGTGAGCTCGTCGCGAGGGAACGCGAGATGCTCGATGTCGCCGCGGATCCAGGCCAGGGCAACGAGCTCGGTAAGGTGGTCAAGGGACAGACGATTCGCTCGATCGAGAGGGAGGACGAAACCGTGACCTTCCACAGCGTGCGCGACTCCAAGGCGAGGTCCGCGACGCCGAAAACCAACGCCGAGATCCAGCGCGAGTTCTACGCGGCCTACCGCCTGATCCCAGGATTCTGACATGGCGACCTACACACACGGCGTGACCTATTCTGATGTGCTCGGGGAATGCCTGTTCGACACCGTGAACATCACGGCGAGCACGACCCCGGTCTCCACGACGCTGATCACGACCTACATCGAGCAAGAGGCTGACAGGATCAACGCGATCCTCGAGGAGAAGGGGATCGACCCCGCCTCGATCGCTTCCTACGAGAGCTCCCAGGGACTTGTCGCCAACCTTTTGATCGAGGGCGCCGCGCTCAAGACCAACCAGCGACACGGCATCCCACGTCTGGCACTCCAGGATCTTCGCGAGCGCTACGATAAACACCTCGCTGGCCTCGGCTCGCTCCGTGGCGCGAACCTCGGGGCCGCGGAGCCTCGGAAGCCGGGCCAGCGCGTGGACGCGGACCCCGACAACCCGCGCGGCCTGCTCATCTCGCGCAAGGGGTGACGCCATGCTCACGATCGACATCCGGCTCGACAAGCGCAGCTTCGAGCGCGCCAGGGATCACGTCGACAGGCTCATCGAGATCACAGACAACCTCGCCCCGACGTTCGAGGCTGTGCACCCCTATCTGTTGATGCACCAGGCGAAGCAGTTCGCCACTGAAGGCAAGCACGGCGGGGATCCCTGGGTGCTGCTCTACTTCCCGGTGCGTGCGATGCAAGCTTTGCTTCAACCCTCGCTCACCGAACCCGGCCACCAGGATCACGTCTTCTTGACGGAGCGTGACCAGCTCCGGTTCGGCACGAGCTCGCAGTGGGCCAGGCGCCTCTTTGACCCCTCAGACGAGCCCGCGCGAATCTTCGCGATGTCTTCGCGCCAGAAGAAAAACTTCCTGAAGCTCATCCTCCAGGACCTCGAGCAGCGAGCCCTCCAATGACACAGCAGGTGATCGATGGGCACGTCGCCATTTCAGATGGCTGGGATGTGGCACAGGAGTTCTTGCTCCTCAAGCTGCTCACCCACTTCAACGCGACCAAGGACGACCTCTTTAACGTCACCGAGGTCGATGGCAACAAGTACACCGAGGATGGCTACTACCTCCCCGATGTGCACACCTGGTACTGGCACGCCGGCCCCTCGCCCCAGGAGGTCACGAGCCAGATCGGGCAGCCTTCAGGCTTTGTCGGACCCGTCGCAGACACCGCGCGAGCTGGCGGACTCAACCTGCTCGCTGACTCCAAGAACGGTTACCACGCCAGGCTTCCCTTCGGACTCGCGATTGCGTTTGATGGCGCGCCGAACGAGCCCGTGAAGTGCCCCGTCGAGGTCGCGGTCAAGGGGGAGCCTGACGCCAGGTTCCTCACCGCGAAGGAGATCCTCGTCCGCCGCGCCACGAAATACCTCGGCGCGCTCAAGCACACGATCCACGAGCGCTGCGGACTGGCACCTGCCTGCCTGCGCGCCGTGATCACGAGCGACTACACGCTGGCCGGCGCGCTCCGCGTCGTCGACATCGAGAGCACGGACCAGACGACACGGCCGGTGGCCCTGATCTTTGTCGAGATCCTGGCCGAGCAGGAACAGTACACCCCGAAATACGCGAAAAACCCTTAAAATCAGGAGGCACCCATGGCGGGAGTCGCTTTCAATGAATACGGCGCCTTGTCCGGTAAGGTCGAGGCCGTCTACGGCACCGATCCGATCCCCACCGAGGGGCTAAAGATCGTGGGCCAGCCGACCTACACCCACGACGACACCTTCGAGCAACCCGAGTTCTTGCAGCTCGAGAACACCTCCGAAGCCGCACCTCGACAGCACAACAAGCTCGACCTGAGCTTTCAGTGCGCGGTCGGATACATGGAGGACATCGATGACGGCCTCGCCGCAAACCACGAGGTCTACATGGCGTGTGGGTTTGGCATCCACGACCAGGCGGGTGTCGGTGCCGCGGGCTCCGGGAACTATATCGAGTACCGTCCGCTCTCGGCGGGCTACAACTCGGCGACGTTCTATGGCTACCTCAAGGAGGACTCGGCATCCGAGCTCACGATCCTCAAGCACCGGGGCTCGCGCGGCGGCTTCAACCTCCAGGTCGAGGGCGGCAACCCGATTCTGCAGGATGTCACGCTCTCGGCGCTCCATGGCTTCTGGGAGCCGTTTGCCGATGACGCCACCAACGTCCCGCCGACGCGCATCGGGCGTGGGGTGGGTTACCACGAGTCCGACTGTGTGACGGCGACCATCGACGGCAACGTGGTCGAGATCGTCGCGTTCTCCTACAACCCCGGCTACGAGGCAGTGGTCCCGGAGAACGAGATCACCGCATGCGATGCCGGTGTCACCGAGATCGACCTCAACGACGGCGATCACACCGGACAACTAACGCTCAAATTCAACAAGTCGCTTATCGACGGCACCGACACCGAGGACTGGCTCAAGCAGGCCCACGACAACGACGTGGACTTTGCCTTCGTGCTGACACGGGATGATGGCGTCCAGATCTTCCAGATCACGATGCCGAAGATGCGCTTCCAAAGTTTCGACATCCAGGATGGCAACAACGACCGAAAAGTTGTTGTCATCGACTACGTGGCGCAGGCCGACGCCGGCAACGATCAGTGCACGATCCGACACGAGGTGAAGTGATGCTGATGGACTTGGCTGGATCACAGGAGTACTGGATCCCCCCTCAAATCCTCGCCGAGGCCGAGCGCATCGCCGAGGAGAAGGGCGTCGCTGTCGATTACAACGCGCTGCCACGCTTCTACTACCGCCCGCCCTCGGGGCGAGAATACCTCGCGTGGCGCCGCGCGGATCGCATCGTCGAGGAGCGCGAGAGAACCGAGCGCGAGGATCACGGCAAGAAGGTGCTCGAGCTGCTCGCCGATCGCGTCGTGCGCATCAAGGGCGAGGGCACGCCTGGCGAGATGGTCAAGATCGAGGTCGGACCGTGGTTTCTCGAGGGGAAAGACCTCGATGAAATCCGCGCGTTCGTCGAGCGTCGGGATGGAGAAGAACAAGAGAAAGAGGAGGGGGAGGAGGCCGCCAAAAACGAAGCGATGCTCGAGGAGATGGCCGACAAGGTGGTCTATCACGAGGCGCTCGTGGGTGAAGACGGCTCCTGGGATATGATCTGGCGTCCCATGACGTTCCGCGACTACATCCCCGACTTCAACAACTTCGAGCACCACATCGAGCTCGCGCTCCTGTGCATCACGCGTGTCGAAGGCCTCGCTTTCGCTGGAGAGAAGCTCGACTGGAAGAATCCCACACAGGTCCGCGAGCTCACGGGTTGGGATCATCCCAGGCGCGAGATCCTTATGCGTACAGGCAAGGCGCCGTGGTCTTACAAAAACCTCGTCGACCTCGCCTTGACGATTGTCCAGGGGATGAGCAGCGGACAAAAAAAAAGCTGAAGGACTTCTTCGAGAAATGTTTCTTGAAGAAGCGGCCCGCGCTCCTCTCTGACCGCCCCAAGAAAGAGCTCGCCTTCGAGCTCGCGCACCAGCGCACAGGTCACGGTCCCTTCTGTGGTGGCGTCTTCGGTAAGACGAAATTTCCATGCCATGCGTGCGAGTCCGAGCACGCCAAGATCATGGAGATGGACGAGATCAAGATCCTCAAGGAGCTCGGCGCCGACATCCCGGAGTCCTGGCTCGACACCGACGATCCCTGGATCGCGCACCAGGCCAACACCTACATGGTCACGATTCGAGAAAATCGCATCGGGAACCTGCTCGAGGAGCCGATGTGGATGCTCCAACTCGCCCAGATCGGTGATGAGGTCTGGTATCGCGCGCAGGCCGAGATGCTCAAGAAACCCAAGAAGCCCGTCAAGAAGTAGCCCCCTACAGCACACCCTATTCGCGCCTTGAAGCGCCCTGACGCTCCCCACCACGAGGAGTCTGCGTCAGGGCGCTTTTTTGTGCGCGCTGTTCTCATCGAGGTCTCTCCATGCGCGCTGAATTCCTGACGCTTGATATCCAGGCGAACAACAGCGCCGAGGATGATCTCAAGCAGCTCAGGCGCGATCTCGATAAGGTCGACGACGAGACGAACGAGTTCAGGCGGGGTCAGAAGCGCACCGAAGATACGGTGCGCAAGACCAAGGAGGAGATCAAGCGCGAGGCCAAGGAGCTCCGAGAGCTTCGTCGCCGCCTCAACGCCGCGGCCACAGCTTCGAGCCGCGCCGGTGGTGGTTTCGGTCGTTCGGCGTCTTCGCTACTTCGGGGGGCGAGCGCGGCCGGGAAGTTCGGCCTCGCGGCGGCGGGTGTCGCCGAGGCGTTCAACGTTATTGGCGTCGCGGCCGATGGTGCCGCGCGCGCGGTCGAGATCCAGGCGAAGGTGCTCAAGGACTCGATCCAGACTGCCGCCGAATTCGAGCAAGAGCTTACACGTGTCAACGCGCTCGTGGGTGGAGGCGCCGAGGAGTTTGCGACCCTTCGGAAATCTGCGATCGAAGGAGGCAAGTCTACGCTGTTCAGCGCGCAGGAGTCCGCTGAGGCGCTCCGTTTCCTGGCTCAGGCAGGGTTTGACGCGCGTAAGTCAGCCGCGGCCCTGCCTGGCACCTTGCAGCTTGCCGGCGCCGGGATGCTCGATCTTGGCAAGGCCGCAGATATCGCCACGAACGTGCTCACCGGTTACGGCCTCAAGGTCGAGGAACTCGGGCGCGTCAACGATGTGCTCGTCAAGGCAGCGTCGTCGTCGAACACGAGCGTGACCGAACTTGGACGCGCGTTTGGCTACGCGGCGGGTCTCGCAGATGCGACGAGCCAGGACTTCGAAAACATCGCTGCGCTGTTCAGCGAACTGGCGAACTCGAGCATCAAGGGACAGCAAGCCGGCCGCGTGGTCGCCAACGCTATCCAGCGACTTACCAAGCCGACCGCCGAAGGGCGGGAAGTGCTCAAGAAGTACAACATTGCCCTTCAAGAGACCGATGGCACCACGCGAGAACTCACCGAGGTGTTGGCGGAACTCTCACAAAAAGGCGCAAACGCTGCTGATGTGGTCGGGCTTTTCGGTACGATAGCGGGCCGCCAACTCATTGGGATCGTTAACAGAGGAACGGCGGGTGTCGAAGGGTTTGCGGCATCCTTCGAGAACGCGAGCGGTGCGGCGGCCAAGTTTCAGGAAGTGGTCCAAGACACCGCGTCTGCGAAGGTCCGCATCCTTCTGTCCACGCTCGAGACGCTCTCGATCGAGGTGGGCTCGCGTTTCACTCCGGCGCTCAAGGGCGGCGCCGCAGCACTCTCAGAGAACGCTGAAGCGCTGGCAGATAACACAGAGTTCCTCGACCAGTTCGAAATCATCGCCGAGGATGCCACGGCCGCGGCTAGGGAGTTGCTGCTGGTTGCCGCGGAACTGGTTCCTGTGGTCACGGTGCTTGGCGGGGTCACGCTCGAACTGGCCAAAAACTCGAGGCTCTTGGCGCTCGGCTTCAAGCAGGCGGGTCGCGTCGCGCTCGCGACGAGCGGCAACTTCCAGCTCGCCGCAGAGGGGCTCGCCGATGACCTCGTGCGTGGCTACGAACTCGCCGAAGAAGCGAGCGGAGATTTTGGAAACTCGCTCGAAGCCAGCGTCAAGATCGGAAAAGAGCTTCGCTCTTCACTGATCAGCAGTGCCAGCGGCTTCGAGCGTCTCGAGGGCAAACTTCGCCAAAACAGAGAGAGCGCCCTTACCTTCAGCGGTGCGATCGGAACGGTTCAGGATGCAATCAAAGCTCTCGGTCTCGCGGACACACGCACAGGGCTCGAGAAGTTCCAGGACTTCTGGGACGGTCTCGGTACCAGCGTCAAAAACGCAGAAGCCGCGGTCAAGGACTTCTACTCCACGATCTCCACGGCACCACCGCCGCCCCCCGTGCTCGCGTTCCCAGAGCCCGAGGTCCCCGAAGGTTCCACCAGGGAGCGCGAGGCCCAGCTCGATATCGCGAGGATTCAGCTTCGTATCGCCAAATCCACGGACGAGATCGAGCGCGCCAGGCTTGGCGCCGCGATCAAGTTCCGCGAGCTCAAGGTCCGCGAAACCGATGAGGATATCGCTGCGCTGGAGCGCCAGCGCATCTGGGCAGAGCTCGAGAACGAGATCGAGGGCATCCGCAAGCGCCGCAAGCCTCGCGGACCCACCTCCGAGGAGCTCGCGTTCATCAACGAGCAGGCACGCCTCGAGCTCCGCATTCTCGAAGCAACCGACGAGCGCCAGCGCATCGAACTCACCGCGCTCTCGAAGCGTCAGGCCATCGCCGAGCAAGTCAGAAAGAAAGAGCTGACAAGCGCTCAGGCTCTGACCGCGCGCACTCGCGTGGCCATCGAGACCGAAGAAGCCATCGACGAGCTCGCGAAGCGGCGCGCCAAGGAGCAAGAGGAGGCGGACAGAAAACGCCTCGATGCGAGGCGCGCGGAGTTCGAGCTTCGATCGCGCACCCTGGATCAGGAGCTCGAGATCGCGAGGCTTCAGGGCGCGTCCCCCGAGCGTCTGCGTCAGCTCGCGTTGGAGGCGCGCTACGCTCAGATCGCAGCGAGCTCTGTCTCCGAGCAGGAGAAGATCCGCGCCAGGCTCATCGCGAGGCTGGAGTCCGAGAACGCGGCACGCAAGGCAAGCCTTGATATTCAAAAGGCGTTGCTCGACATCGAAGCACAACAGTTACGTGATAGCGGTGGGGCTGCAAACCAGGGGCGCGCCCGCGAGCTCGAGTTCCAATCCGAGCTGCTCAGTATTGCCCAGGCAAACCTGAGCGATGAAGAGCGGCGCGCGAAACTCGGCGCGCTGAGGGCAAAGTACGAGAGGGATGTGGCTGACGCTCTCGAAGCGCAGAAGCTGGAACAAGCCGCACTCATCCGCTCGACCATTACAGGAGCCACGGACACCAGTGGTGCCCAGGCATTGCTTGGCGACGAGCAAGCAAGGAGCGCCTCGGCTCGTCAGGCCGAGATCGAGCAGCTGCGCCGTCAACGAGAAGAGGCGGGCAACGCCGGCGCGAGCACAGAGTTCCTGGAGCGTCGCATCGAGCTTCTGGAGCGCGAAGGAGAACTCGAGAGACGTAATCAGGAGCTCTTCCAAAAGCGTCTCGAAACGTTCTCCCAGATCGGCACAGAGCTTGGCCAGCTCACCGAGGCATCTCTGGCGGCAGCGGCAGCAGCCGAAGATACAGCGGAAGCACACGAGAAGCAGGCCGCGGCGCTCGCTGCGGCGACGCAGCTTGCCGGCTCGCTCACCGGGGCCTTCGTCAAGGACCTGAAGCGGCGCGCCCAGCTCAACGCCATCTTCAACGCTGCGGCGGCCACGGCTGCGCTCGCGGGCTATTTCACCTCGGCGGGGTCAGCGGGGCACTTGTTGTCCGCGGCGATCAAGCACGGCGCCGCGGCGGTCCAGTTCGGCGTCGTGGCGGGGACCGCTTCGGCAGGTTCTGGCTCGGGTGGTGGTTTTGGCGGGGGCGCTGCGGCGAATGCCGCGAGCTCAGGCAGCGCGAGCAATGTCGTGGACCTGGACAGCGAGCGCGTCAGGAGCGCGGAGTACCTGGCGAACGCCATCGCGGCGCGCTTCGAGCAGCCCACCGAGACGGTCTACAACTTCTACATGTCTGGCCCGATGCTCGCGAACGCGCCGGACACCGCAAGAGAGCTCAAGCGCGTGGTGGATGACGCCGGCGCCAACGTCGTCACCGCGTCTGTTTCCGCCTGACAAGAGGATCCGATGGAACCGCTGCTATCACCAGATGTGCTCGTGGGGAGCGTGGATCTCACGGAGAACAACGCGTTCGTGGTCTCTGTCGGAGGTGGCGGTGACACCACGGGTACGATCGCGAGCGTCGACGAGGCGTGGCTCTACTACGAGGGGGGCGTGAATTTGCTCGAGGTGGACTGGCCCGGTTTCTACAACCGGCTCGAATTCCAGCTCGGTGGCGCGCTCTCCACAGCAGCGGGTTCGGCGGTGAGCGTGTCTGTAAGAGCGGGCACCCCGCAACGCACACCGTTTCCCTGGGCTGGTCTAAAGATCACGACCGATACAGCGTTCACGCTTCGTGTCACGAGCCCTGCGTTCACGCTGGATCCCAGGTTGTTCGGCCTGTCCCCGGATGACCCCGACTTCGGGGATGTCGTGATCGAGGCTGGCGAGTGGCACTCGCCATACGCCATCGGCGGGGTGTGGCGCACCCCGAGGCGTGCCGTGAGCAAGTTCGGGGATACGGAATACGAGCAGTATGACTCTGGACCCGAGGATCAGATCCGGTGGCGAGAGTCCACCTTTCGCGAGCTGCTCTATGGCAGGGTGCCCGCGGGGCTGGTGCGAAAGACACGCGCAGCAGAGGACATCCGGTGGGCCAGAGCCGCGGGGCTCGCGCACTACGACACGAACAACAACCTCGAGCGCCTCTGGGAAGAGACGATGGCTTTGAAGAAGCCATTCCTCGTCTTCCACGGGCACGCGCTCGCCGGGACGCTCGAGATGCCGGCTTCGGGTGTCGAGATCGCGAGACTCCGTGAGCTCGAGCAGCGCAGCAAGAAGAGCGCGCTGTGGACGGACATCCAGAACCGCGGCGAGAAGTACTCGGTGCGCCTCGCGCTCGAGGTCCTCGCCGGCGATCACAAGCACTCCTGATTCGAAGAATCCCTTTCTCCAAAAAAAAGAGGAGGAGGGGGAGGAAGAAGAGGCACCTGTGTCCACACACAGAACCACAATCGGCCTTCAGATCGAGGGCCTCGGTTTGGTCGAGGCAGACCAGTACGCCACGGTCTGGCAGTACGAGTCGTGGCGCCATATCAAGGACGTCGCCAAACCCGACGAGTGGCAGGAGCACACCCTCAAGGAGCTGCCTCGCGGGGTGTCCTCCTCGATCGATCCTTTCAAGCGCGAGTGGGCAAACTCCGCGTTTGTCTTCAGGCTCCCCGCCACACAGAACGTCATGAAGACCTTGATGTGGCAAGTCAACGAGCCCTTCGCCTTGCTCTCAGCCGATGTCGGCGCCGCGGACACGACGCTCCCCATCGATGTCCCAGGCCTCGATGGCGAGGTCATTTTCATGGGGCGCGAGACCATCCGGCTCGGCACCTACAGCAGTGGCGAGTACATCGACTGTGACCGCAACTGGTGGAGCTCCAGCGCGAGCGAGCACAGCGCGGGCCAACCCGTGTTCGCGGGTCCACCCAAGCTCAAGGATCGCCAGGTCTGGATCGTCCAGGTCGATCTCGCGACGCGCACGGTCAAGCGCAAGTGGACAGGCTTCTTGCAGGACATCAGCACCGACTCGACCTTTACCACGGTGGATGTGCAGTGTGCGGAGTTCTTCTCCTCGATCGCGAGGCTTCGGCTCAACCAGGACGCGAAGAACCTGGCCATCGGGTCGAGCCTCGAGCGCGTGCAGACACCCACTGGGGATTGGATCCAGGGCTTTATCCCGGACTATACACCCCGGATGCGAAAGCTCGATCAGGCCGGTTCCTCCACGGTCTGGCTCGATGTCGATGGTCGCTTGATTCGAGGGATCTACAACGGCAGGGGTGTCAGCGTCGCGCGTTCAGACAACCTCGTCTGCTTCGATAACTTCGAGCCCGAGTTCATCGACGAAGACGAGATCATCAAGAAGACGCGGGTTACCAACGCCTTCGAGGTGTTCTTTGTCAGCCAGGAGGCAGATGACCAGCTCCTCGGCGGCAACGTGTCGACGACCTCGGCGCTCTTTGACCCCTACAACAGGGTGGCGATTGCATACGCGATCCTCGTCTCGACGCTCGCCGCGGGCACGACGACGGTGCCCGACACCTCGCTGGGGTATGTCGACGCCGATGTCTTCGGGCCAGGGTTCATGCTCGACATCGAGGACTACCTCGATGTCGAGAGCTGGTGGGAAGCCATCATCTCGGCGGAAGAGAGCCTGCCTGTCGAGCAGCTCGCGCTCGGCTTTGGTGGGGACTCGCCCGAGGTCCTCGACACGATCAACAACGTCCTGCTCGGTCCCGGGGGATTCCTCCTCACGATCACAGAAGAGGGTTTGCTCGGGTGTCAGCGCTTCGAGGCCATCGATATCCGCCAGCTTTGTGAGGCCTTCGATAACGCGATCACGGTCTTGTCCCCGGGGGAGGGCGGGGTGTTCGAGTTCCAGGCTGCGCTCGGTTCTGCCATCGATCAGGTCGTGGCAAAGATCGGCGAGACACCGTGGCAGAAGCCCTCGAAGCAGACGATCAACGTGTACGGGAGCCAACAGGGGTCAGGAACACCAGACTTCGCGGCGCCCGAGAGGATCACCTTCGATCTGCGCACGCTGAAGCGTGAGCACGCCAGCGAGAGCTTCGATGGGGACAGGGGAGATGACGCCTTGTTGGGGCTCCTGGGTTTTGCGATCCAGGCGCACTGGGCGTCGCCGAGGCTCAGGGTCAGGACGCGGGATTCCAAGCTCCAGGGCCTCTCGAAACCCTTTGACTTGGGGCGCTATATCACGATCGAGGCAGGCTTCCCCGAGGACAAGATCTTCCCGGTCCCGACGCAGGGAGGACGGCCCGAGTTTCACACGCTGCCACCGGAGACCGAGGACGTCAAAATCCGGCTCACCGGGATGCTCGTCTCCAGGGATTGGAAGACAGACTCTCAGCTCTACGAGCTCACGCTCCTGCTTCTTAGCTACCGAAACGCGCTGGTGGCGAGGCTTCGCGCGCCATCGATGCGTCTCACCGGCTCCATCGGTGCGAGTAACGTGCTTATTGGCCCGCTCGAGTCGGACTACGGCTCGAACGTCGAGGACGGCAAGGGCTTCAAGGTCGGGGATCAGGTCGAGCTCTGGCACCGGGATGGCAGGCGCTGGGCAGACTCTGTGGTGCGCACGATCACCAAGCTGCTCGATGAAGCCGTCGAGGTCGATGGCTGGTACGCAAGCGATCCCGTGGGGGGCCTCGTGATGAGGCTCGCACCCTCGACCACCTACAACAACGACGCGCACGTCGCTTGCTTTGGCAGGCCGTGGGTGTGTCTTGGCGATGATAATGGCGAGCTCGACGTGCTCGGGACGCTCGAGGAGGCGGACAGGTATGGCTGATCTTTACAACGGGGATGAATTCATCGCGATCGACGAGGAGATCCTCGAGGACTACGGGATGGAGGACACCCACCTCGATCACCTCTTCAGGAACCAGAACGCCTGGCTCAACAAGGTCGGCAACCGGGTTGGCTTTGGCTGGGTGAACCCGAACCAGAGTCACGACGCCTACACCGGGGACAGGGCATACGCGAGCTGGCGCCCGCTCTGCATCTTCTTTTGTGATTACTACGTGGCGCCGGGCCTCAAGAAGCTGACGCTCTCGATGGAGCTGCGCGTCTCGACTTCTGATCCCGCTCCGCCAGGAGGCGCGCCAGCGGGTGAGATTGATCTCACCGTGGAGCTCGTCGGCTTCGGGGAGACCACGGTGCTTATCCAGAGCGATGCGGATTACCAACACGTCGATGTCGAGCTCGACCTCACCACGATCCCGTCTTCGACGGCGCCGACGCTCCTGCGCATCTGGATCAAGAGCTACTTGCGGAGTGCCCAGGGCATCGATGCCGCGCGGTTCCAGCGCGTCGAGGTCGCGGGGCTTCGTCCGATCGGCGGTGCGTTCTTTCCTGAGCCTCCGGCGACGGCGCCGCATGCTGACTCGTTGGCCGAGCAGGTCATGATCATCGATAACGAGTTCCACGAGCTGCTCTCGCAATCCGCGGGCGGTGGCGGGGGGCTCGCGTCTGCGGATGTGTGGCCACCGCCACCGCCAATGGTGTCGATCGATGATACCGACGAGCGCGAGCCAGACCTCATTTACCTGACCTACGCGCAGCTCCGTGGGTTCAACGTCGAGGAGGAGTTCGACCCCAGGATCATCTCCCAGAAGGCGATCCGGGCAGATATCCCGGTGCGTGCCAGGACGGCGGCAAAGCATGCGCTCGACTCCGCGCGTGGCGCGCGCCGCCCCAAGCTCCATCTCCTCGGACACTACGGGGAGTATGATCCGGCGCCCGAGGGCTCGACGTCGGAGTGGCCCTACTACGAGCGCTGGCGTCACATCGCGCATGATGGCGAACACAACAAGGTCGGCGGCATCGGGCTGAAGATGGTGCAGGATTCCGTGATGTTCACGGAACCCGCGCCACTCATCGACATCTTCTTCTGGGTTGCGCCCTGGTACGCCACGGATCGTGATCGCGAAACAGGGAAAGAGTTCTTCGTGGGGACCACGATGAAAGAACTCGAGGAGGCGACCTTCGGGCTTTCCTGGACCTTTCGGGCTGAGTTCCTGGCGCTAGGCACCGCGTTTTCGTTCAGCGAAGACCTGGAGGTGACGCTCGGCCATGTCCCGGCATCTCTCGGCGGAACATGGCCGCTACTCCTCCAGCTCCACAGGCGCCATACCAGCGGTGCGAGGCGAGGGTACACCCTCAAGGAGGGTGCGCTCTACGACGTGGATTTCGGGTTGCTCATCCCGCTGCGGATCACGCTGGATGCGTCAGGGATCACCGAGGCCCTTCGAGACAGGCCGATGCGTTTCCTGCTTTCAGCGCTCCCGCAACCCTTCGGGGGTGGTGTCGCGTCAGGCTCATTCGAGGGCCAGGCCAACACCACGAACACCTACCTCACGATGGTCGCGTGCTCGGTGTGGGAGCGCCATCGCTTCTAATAACAAGCAGAAGACGCTCCGCAAGACGAATCGAACTCTCCAAAGGGAACGCAGCTATCACCACAGGGTTCGTACTTTCTGGCGCCGTCCCAGGCACAATGCTCGGTGCAGCCTCCAGGCCACCATGACCAGTGGTAGAAATTCTGGAGCTGCTCCTCCTCGAGCGAGCCGCCGGTGTCTTCCTTGTAGTCACAAAGCTCGGCGCCGCTGCCCAGGACAATGAAGTTCCTTTCATGTCCGCACCAGACCACCGAGGTGGCGGTGTTGTCCTCACACCGAAGGCCATACTCGGCGTTTTCAGCGTCGACATGCCAGCCATCTTCCTTCGCGGCGCAAGCCGCCTCGGCGCGTGTCACAGCGCAGTCGTGGCATGGCGCTTCTTCCTCTCCGGGATCCTGAGAACAGGAGACTCCAAAGAAAAAGAGGAGGAGGAGGGGGCAAGCAAGGGATAGGCGCATGGTCAGGGTCTCTCGCGTCAAAGGTTTCTTTCAGGCTCTCTCTTAGAGCTTAACACCAGATTCAAGCGAGGCAAATCGATGGCGAAGGCGCTCGATACCGTCTACGGCCCCGTGTCCCTGTCCGAGATGCTCCTGGCGAAGCCTGTGTTGGCATCGACCTGGAAAAAGATCGCGTCGGGAAACCACGGCCGACTCGCCCGGTTTGGCCAGGTCACGCCGCTTTATGAGGGCGAGGCCTGGGTGCGTGACTCCGCGCTCTACGGGAGTAACCCCACCGAGGGCGACGCCATGGACTTGAACGCGTTTCGGCGACAGCTGCGCGCGCACCGGCCCGTGGAGACAGACCACACGCTCGTGATCCTCTGGGCGCAGATCTACGCCGAGGACTGCGACATGGAGATCGACATCGTGCGCCACGAGCTCGATGACGGCGGCGTCATCGCGCCAGCCACGCTGACCACCCTGAACCCCGTGGCGCCCGCGGGCGGGCCGAGCTGGGCAGAGGACACGCAGGCGATCCTGCTCTCCAACACGTTGAGCGCCACGACCCAGATCCCGCACCTCTGCGGGACCTTGATGCGGGCAAAGAGCGTGGATGGTCTCGACCCCGCGACACTCTACAACGCGCACCTGCGCGAATACTGGATCCCCGTAGGCGATCTCCCCATCTGATAAGGAGCCTGACATGGCAAAGGACTTTCCACTCCAGATCTTCCAGGGCGAGGCGTTTTCGATCCCTTGGACCGTGGAAAAGAACGGCGCGGCGCATGACGTCTCCGCGCTCGATACAGACAAGCTCCGGTACAGGGTCGGGCGCCTCGGGAATGAGACGATGGTCTCCAAGGACCGCGCCGCCGGGATCACGTTTAACACCGATGGCACCGATGGCCAGATCCTCATCGCACTGACCAACGCGGATACCAAGTCACTGGTCGAAGGGACCTATTACCACCAACTCACCATCAAGCCCGAGGCTGGTGTGGAGAGGGTCGTGTTCTACGGGGTCTTCAGGGTCAAGGATTCGCTGACCGAGGCGGGGTGAGTCATGGCAGACGAGTACGGAGGAACCTTGGGGGTCATCGATCGCTGGGGCGGCGATGTCCCCACGCTCGATGCGTGGGGAGGAGCGCTCCCCACTCTCGATGTCTGGGGCGGCAAGCCGTTTCACGAGGCCGGCGGGAGCGCGCCGACGGTACTCACGAATCCCGTGATCACAGGCATCTTTGGCTATGGCAACACGGCCACCGTGACGCCTGCGACCTGGACCGGTGACCCGGATACCGTGGACCGGCAATGGCAACGATTCGATCTCGATGCTCCCGGTGGAGCGTCATGGGTGGACATCCCCGCCGAGGAGGCGCTCACCTACCTCATGGATGACCCCGCGGATTTCCCCGGAGGCTTGCGCGTTGTCGAGATCGCCACGAACGCATTTGGGACAAGTGCGCCAGCCATCTCGGCGACTTTCTCATCTCCTGTGGCTGGCGTCATCGCCGTCGAACCCGACATGCACGCGCTCTTCCACAACCTTGGTCAGGGCGTCGCCGTCGGCAACCCTGTCGCGAGCTGGAAGACGCACAACCAGGACACCTCGCTCGACAACGCGGTCGGGAGCGAGCAGCCAACAAGGCTCGCCACAGGTGTGGACTTCGATGGCCTGAGCCACCACCTGCGTGGCGGATCTTCGATGGGCGTGCTCGTCGAGGGCGCCTGCACGATCGTTATTGGCTTCGACGACATCTCGGACACCGGCACCACTGGTGCCAGAACGATGATCAGCACTGCCCGCTCGACCTCTGGCGGCACGAACCGTCAGCTCTCGGTCAACTACTCGAGGCCTGACGCGCCCAATGGCACACGTCAGCGCGTCTATATGCATGACGGCACCTCGAGCCAGACCATCTCTCTCCAAGATCTCAGCGTCGTCGGTACTGATGGCTACGACCTCGCGATCCGGTGTGAGGGGCGCGGCGTGCCAAACGTCACGCGCGCGGATCGCGTCGTGGATCCGCTGGTGCAGATCGGGGCCGATGCGACACGTCCATCAAACTTGGTGGAGTACGAGTACTTCGCGCTCGGTGCGCTCGCCGTCGGTGTGGGGCCGACCATCCTGGCCAAGTGGCAGGGTCGCGTGCGCTATCTCTTGATCATCCCGAGACACCTCTCCGACGCCGAGCTCGACACCTTGCGCGATGAGCTCGACACCGCCGGATATCTCGCGCCTTAGAGGAGGACGCCATGACAACAATAGGAGACGAGTACAAGGGTTGGGTCGCGCTGGTCGTGCCACCGGAGCTGCGCGAGGACGCCGCGAAATTTATCGCCAGGGAAACCGGGAAGCCCGAGAACGACACGCCCAACTACTTTGGCGTTGCCTTGTGCGCGCTGGGTGATTCTCACGGCGAGCCCGTGGCTTACATGGGGACGCCGCGCGCGCGTCAGCGCTTTATCGACTCGCTCTACAAGGTGGTTCCGGACTGGCCGGGGTGTCACGTCATCTTGCTCAGGCATGACGACCTCCCTGCGAGCTGGCGTGTGCATGTCCCGACCTGGCTGGCGTCCCTTGGCTACGAGATCTGGGAGCCCGAAGACCTGGCGGTGACCGAATGAATGAGCCAACGAAAAAGCGAAGTCTGCCCCAATGGTTTGGCGCGTCGGCGCTCGTGATCGCCGCCGTCTATGGGCTCTTCAATATCGCGGCGTGGCTCGACGACAAGGTAGCGAACACCATCTCGGCGGCCATCACCACGCTCTTTGACGCGAACCTCGCCGTTCCTCTTTTCGTCGCGATCTGCCTCGGGCACTGGTGCTCGAGGGATCTCGACCTCCCGAATCCAGGTGTCCTGGGTTTTGCCATCATGGCTTCGCTCGTCCTCGTCGCGGGCGTGGTCGACTGGCTTCTCGGTGGATGGATCGCACAACGCTACCCCTCGATCATTATCGTGCTCGCCGGCCTCGCCATCGGGTGCGTCACCTGGGTCATGAGTCAGGAGGCCCCCGCATGAGCAAGAGACAAGACGACTACATCAGACGCATGCTCCCGATCTTTGCGCCCCAGGGCTTCCCCGAATGGGCAGGGATCGAAGGCGTGCCAACCGCGCTCCAGATCGAGGGACTGCAACGCGAGCTCGGGGTCAAGCCCGACGGGTATCCCGGACCCACAACGATCGCGGCGTGCGCGAGCCTGGACTGGAAGCAGAAGATCGATGCGGTGCGCGCCCGCGGTAACGGCCTCATCATCATCGGTCCCAGGGTTCACGAGGTCATGGTCCCGACCCACACCTACCTGGATGATTTCGAGCTCTGCACCACGAACTACTCGCCACGGCGCCAGGTTCCTCACCAGATCATGACGCACTACGACGTGACCTGGAACGCGCAGAGGACCCACGACGTGCTGGCACGTCGCGGATACTCCACGCACTTCTGCGTCGACGGCGACGATGCCGGGACGATCTGGCAATTTCATGACCCCGCGACGCGCTATGCGTGGCACGGGGGGTACAGCGATGAGAGCAAGAACATGAACCGGGGATCGATCGGGGTCGACCTGAACAACCCCGCGGTGCCCGACTACCAGAAGCGGGACAAGAAGAACCGGGGTCGCGCGCGAGACATCGAGGAGGTCGTGATCCATGGCCACGCCTACAAGCTGCTCGACTACCACGACGAGCAGCTCGCGAGCTTCGCCGAGCTTGTCCAGATCTTGTGTGAGGTGTTCGGGATCCGCTGGCGCTTTCCCCAGGACGAGCTCGGGAACCCGATCCACACCACGATCTCTGGAGCCGACGCGTTCGAAGGGGTCATCGGGCATTACCACGCCACGAAACGAAAGATCGATCCCGCGCCGCTCCCCAAAGCGAAAACTACTTTCCTGAAGAAGAAGAAAGAAGGGAGTGAGGGGAGATTTACGACGTGCGCGCGTTTTTAACTACGTGAAGATAAATGAAGAGATGCGTAAGGTATTGAAAAGGTGGGCGGCCGCAAGTGGGTGCTCGTCATGTTGCTCGTGTTGGTAGGAACCGTGGCGCTCTGGATGGATAAGATCACGGGCGCGCAGTGGGTACAGCTCGCCGGAATCCTGATGGGCGCGTACGGCGTCAGCAACGCCATCACCCACGTCGGGCACGCCAGGGCGAACGCGACGCCGATTGGCCCCGTCAAGGAGGAGATGTTCGATGCCGGTCACTGAAAAATCCTCGCGCGCCACGCGGCTTCTCTCTCTCGGCGTGCTCGCCTTCCTCGGCTTGAGGGGAATCACGGGCTCCATCGTCTCCTGGTGGGCGTCGTCAAACCTCGGGCTTGCCTGGAGTGCGTTGATCATCGGGCTCGCGCTCGCTGGCACGGTGGGCGTCTACCGTCGCCACAAGCAGACGATGGCCATTTCGATGGGTGGCGCCGCCTACCTCGCTGGTGGCTTCGCCGTGAACGCTTTGCGCGTGGGCAATCCACCGTTTCTCTGGGGGCTTCTGATGCTCCTCTCCCTCTCTCTAGTCTGGGTACATAAGAGATGACTCCACTGCTCGCACAATCGCTCGAGGG